ATGCCCACTCTTGCCACTTTCATTCAACATGGTATTGGAAGTTCTAGACACAGGAATTAGGCAAGAAAAAGAAATAAAAGGCATCCAAATTAGGAAGAAGTAAAATTATGATGACTTGCAGGTTACTTGATACTGTATACATAAAAAACTCAAAAGATTCTACCAAAAAAAGCATTAGAATAAGTGACTTCAGTGAACAGGATAAAAATCAACATACATAAATCCATAGTGTTTCTATATACTAATAGTGAATTATCAGAAAGAAATTAAGAAAATCCCACTTACAAATACATCCAAAAAAATAAAATATAGACATAAATTGGGGAGCCTAGGTGGCTCAGTCATTAGGTGTCTGCCTTCAGCTCAAGTCATGTTCCCAGGGTCCTGGGATTGAGCCCAATATCAGGCTCTCTGCTCAGTGGGAAGCCTGCTTCTCCCTCTCCCACTCCCCCTGCTTATGTTCCCTCTCTCACTCTCTCTCTCTGTCAAATAAATAAATACATAAACAAACAAACAGACATAATTTTAACCAAAGAGGTAGAAGACCTATACACTGAAAACTGTAAGAAACTGATGAAAGAAATGGAAGAAGATACAGATAAATGGAAAGATACTCTGTGCTCATGGATTGAAAGAATTATATTGTTAAAATAGCCATACTACCCAAATTATAGATTCAATGCAGTCCCTATCAAAATTCCAATGTTGTTTTTCACGGAACAAATTTAGAAATAATTTGGGGCGCCTGGGTGGCTCAGTGGGTTAAAGCCTCTGCCTTCGGCTCGGGTCATGATCCCAGGGTCCTGGAATCGAGCCCCATATCGGGCTCTCTGCTCAGCAGGGAGCCTGCTTCCTCTTCTCTCTCTGCCTGCCTCTCTGCCTACTTGTGATCTCTGTCAAATAAATAAATAAAATCTTTAAAAAAAGAAAGAAAAGAAATAATTCTAAAATCTGCATGAGACCACAAAAGATCCCAAATAGCCAAAGCAATCTTAAGAAAGAACAAAGCTGGAGGTATCTGCTCTCTGATTTCAAACTACAAAGCTATGGTTATCAAAACAGTATGATACGGACACAAAAACAGACACACAGATCAATGGAACAGAATTGAGAGCTGTGAACTAAACTCACATATATATGGACAATTAATGCATTGCAAAGGAGCCAAGAACATACTATGGTGAAAGGACAGTCTCTTCAATATATGGCATTGGAAAAACTGGATCGCTATCTTATACCATACACAAAAACTAACTCAAAATGGATTAAAGACTTGAATGTTATACCTAAACCACAAAATTCCTAGAAGAAAACATAGGCAGTAAGCAACCTGACTTTGATCTTAGCGATAATTTTGTGGATCAGACTTAAAAGGCAGGAGAAACCAATGCAAAAATAAAAATTACTTCAAACTAAAATGCTTCTGCATATTGAAAGAAACATCTTCAAAATGAAAAGGCAACCTACTGAATGGGAGATTTCTGCAAATCATATATCAGACCAGGGATTAATATTCAAAATATATAAAGAACTCAATAGCACAATAAAAAACAAAGAACCTGATTAAAAAATAGGCAGAGGATCTGAACTGACATTTAGGATATCCACAGATATGTGCCACCATCATCACTGTCAATTTTAGAACATTTTCATTACAATAGTCAATTCTTAGTCTTCATTTTACTTGGCCTATTGACTGCAGGTGACATAGTTGTTCAATCCCTGTCTCTTTGAAACGTTGTTTTCACTTGGTTTTCAGCACTGCATACACTCTTGGTGTTCTTTCTTCTCCAATGGCCATCTCCTTTCAATTGGCTTTGCTTTTCTTCCCCCTGACTTCCTTCTAGAGATTGGAGTATCCGAGGGTGTAACACTTTACATTCCTCTTTATCTTCCTGGGTGATCTCATCTAGTCTCATAGCTTTAAAATACCATCTATATGTTTAGTACTATCAAGTCTACATCTCTAGCCCAGACATCTTTCACCATCTCTAAGTTTGTGTATACGACTGCCTGCTCCACATTCCCATGTGGATTCTAACAGATAACTCAATATGTTCAGAACGAACCCTGTTCCACGTGCAGTCTTCCCTACCTCAGACAATGACAATTTCATCCGTCTAGTTGTTCTGGCCAAAAATGGTAGAGTTATCTTTATGCCATTTCTCTCTCACGTACCACATTCAATCCATCAGGAAATTCTGTTGGCTCTACCCTCAAAATACTCAGAACCTTATCCCTTCTCCCACCTCATCTGTTACTGCCTGGTGCAAGCCGCCAACATTTCTAGCTCGAATTATTGCAACAGCCTAACAGGTCATGCTGCTTTTTATCCTCGTCACTCTATAGTCTACTCTTAACACAGCAACTACAGTGATCCTTTGAAAATGGAGGTAATTTCATATTACACCTCTGCTCAAAACTTTGCAGTGACTCCCCATTTCACTCAAAGTAAAAGCCAAAGTCCTTATAATGGCCCGCAAGGCCCTTCAGCCCCTGATCCGTCCCTGCTCCATTACCTTCTTGACTTTGTCTGTTATAACTTTCCCCCTTTATTCACTTTGGTCCAGTTATGCAGGCCTCAACTTTTCCTTAAACACTCCAGGCACACTTCTGACTCAGAGTTTGCAGTGGTTAGTCCCTCTACCTAGAAAGCATTTCCTTTAGGGCATTGCTCAAATTTCATCTTCTCCATAAGGCTTTCTCTTATCACCTTACTTAATATACAGTCAACCCTCTCCATCCTCCTCTACTTCCTCTTCCTCCACTTCCAGACCCTCTTACCTTGCTCCACTTTTTCTTTTAGCTATAACACTTATCATCTTTTAACATACTCTATATTTCTTTCTTTCTTTTTTTAAGATTTTGTTTATTTCAGAAAGAGAGAGGACAATCCAGGGGGAGAAACTGAGGGAACAGGAGAAGAAGACTCCTTGCTGAGCAGGGAGCCCAGCACAGGGTTTGATCCATGAACCCAGTGATCATGACTTGAGCTGAAGGCAGACCCACTGAGCTACCCAGGCACCGCAACATACACTGTATTTCTTATGTTTATTTCTTAGGTTTGTTTATAGTGTCTCCTTCCCCTCTAGAATATAAGCTCTCCAGGGGGCACATGGGTGACTCAGTCAGTTAACCAACTGACTCTTGATCTCAGCTCAGGTCTAGATCTCAGGGTCATGAGTTTAAGCCCCTGATTGGGCTTTGCGCTGGGCATGGAGCTTACTTAAACAAACAAAAAAACAAAACAAAAACAAAAGAAAAAGAAAGAAAAGAATGTAATCTCTGCAAAACAAGAAATCTGTTCATTGATGTATCCCAAGGATATGGTACAATGTCTGGTACAGAGTAAGTGCTCAATAAATATCTGTTATATGAATGAATGAAAAGTGTGAGTGATAATACCTACTCTAAAGTTATTTTAGGAATTAAATAACATGCAAAGGTTTTGTCACACAATAGACATCCAATCCAAGGGATTCCTACCCCTTCCCCAAATATCTTTCCCATTTGCCTCCTCTTATAGCACTGCTCCTGCCCTCTTCTCTAAAATTTTCACCATTCTAGGCTCTCCTTTGAGTTTAAATCCAGGAAAATCCGACAGAAGTCCACAGATGTCATCTGAGAAGAAAAGGAACCCTGGGAGACCAGATTTACCTACTGCCACACTCTTTATCAAATTAACAAATGGTCACCCACAGAAGCAGAAAGCCCTAAGGAGATGGACAAGTAAATGTTTTTGTTGTTGGAATTGGAGATTTACTGCATTGCCTTTTCAAATTACCTTTATTGAGGTCTAATGTACATACTTTAAAATATACACATTTTAGGTGTACTATCTGATGAGGTTTTAAAAAAAAAGATTTTATTTTATTTATTTGTCAGAGAGAGAGAGAATGCACAAGCAGGCAGAGGCAGAGAGAGAAGCAGATTCCCCACTGAGCAAGGAGCCCAATGCAGGATTTAATCCCAGGACCCAGGGATCATGATGTGAGCTGGAGGCAGCTGCCCAACCGACTAAGCCACCCAGGCGTCCCTATCTGATGAGTTTTGACAAATGTATAGGTAATTTGATTTGGGGTGGAGGGCATTAAGGTCACCTGAAATTATGTAGGTCCAGGGATTTAGCAAAGGGATCGTGGCTAGGAAAGAGAACTTCAGGGCTTTTGGAAAACATGCTGAAACAGGGACAATTGGAGACACCAGGGCCCACCTGAAATTCCTGCGGTCTCGGTGCACCAGAATCTGAACCTCCAGAATGTCACACAACTTCGTGGCACTTCTCGGCCCTCCTGAGGGAGTGGGCCAGCTCCCTTTCACACCAGTCTCACCTGTATAAGCCAGGAGCAGTGACCTGGGACTGAGTCTTCCCTTCGCCCTGCAACTCTCCTACCACTACCCACACCCCCCATCCCTGCCTACCGGTGAGGATGGGAGGGGTCCGCTCCAGCCCGCCAGAGCCAAACTTCACCGCTGCCTTGACACCCACTGGGCCTGATTTTCTCTCCAGCCGCAGTTAGAAATCGACTTCGGGTCTGCAGCACTATTACAGGCGGGAAAAATCGAAAGCGCTGCACCAGGTGTTGGCGTCAGAAATACCCCTTTGGGTCCGCCACCCTCCGGTCCCTGGGGGAGTCTAGGTCTCTGAGGCACGGTCTACTGAGTCAGCCCAGCAACCAGGTCCTCTCCCGCCCCTCTGCCTCTAAAACCCTCTAGAGGTTGCAGTTTCAGCTTCACTTAGAGACAGCAACTCTTGAGTTCAGGTTGGCTGGGGAAACTGAGGCAAAACCGGGAAGGGGTCTAAAGTTGGCCACAGACACCCCCCCACACACCCCGGAACTGCGATAGCCCCTTCCGAAAGCCCAAAGCGGTGCGCACGTATCCAAGAAACCCGTGGGGGTGGGTCCGTGCAAAAGTTGGGGAAAGCGAAGCACCGAAGCGGCGGGGAAGCCTCAGGGGTGGGGCCAGGGGTGGGTCCTGGTGGAGGGCGGGGCCGACCTGGGCTACCAAGAGTGCCAGTGTAGCCCTGCACAGCACAGGTGGTGGTGGTGGCGGCCCTTGCCTGTGGCTCTCGTTCTGCGTGCGCTAGACCTCGCAGCCATGGAGGGACCCGAGGAGCTTCTGAGTGGGAAGCTCCAGCTCTGCTTCACCCCCGCTGCCGGGACCAGCCTCCTGATGTTCAGGCTCAACGACGCGGTCCTGCGGGCGCTGCAAGAGTGTCGGCGGCAACAGGTGCGGCGGACCCTGGGCCCCGTCTTCCCTAGCCTCTACCCCTCAGGATCTCAGGCCTCTGCCGGTGACCCTGGCGAAGCGACCTGGGGATGGGAAGAGGCATCCGCAGGCTCTAACCTCCCCACCTCTCCAAGTGAATTGGGCGGGGCAGGTGCCCCCCACCCCACCCCGGGCACCTGACGCTGGATCCTGGGAATGCCACTTCACCGGCGTTAAGCTCGCATCTGCTCTCCCAGCAGGTTCGGCCAGTGATCGCTTTCCAAGGCAACCGAGGGGTAAGTACGGGCCTAGAGTGTTTGGAAAAAGGCGTGGTGCGGGGAGAACAGAAGTGGGCTCCGGGAGGGTGCGGTCCGGGCGGGAGGCTGAGAGCAGTCACGGTCCGAGAACTGAACACCCGAGTGGGGCAGAGGGGGCTGCTAGCGTTGTGGTCCCAGGAGACTGCGGTTAAGGACACTGTGTCGTCTCAGCCTCCTGGGGAACTCAAGCCCAGCTGCACCTGGTGTACTAACGAGCCCCATGGGACCCATCTTCAATCTTAGGTTGGCTCAGGGAAGAATGGCTGTGGGAGGAAGGGGGAGGGGGCGACTTCATGGGGCTTATGGTTCTCCTTTTGCGCTCAGTATCTGAGGTTCCCAGGCCCTGGCTGGTCCTGCCTCTTCTCCTTCTTAGTGTCCCAGTGTGGCCAGGAGGGCCCTGGAGGTGGCTTGGACCTTGTGTGCCAACGGTTAGGCAGGTAAGGGGGAACAGGGAGCAAATAAAAAGGGTTTGTGGAAAGTTGGGGAGGATGATTTCAGAGGTGCTTAAAAGTTCTCCACCCTCCTGGGATTTTTCCACCACCCCTTTCCAGATCTGGGCCTAACCAGCTCCACTGCCTGGGCCCACTCAGGGATCGCCTCACTATTTGGGCAGCCATGGATTCCATCCCAGCCCCATCTATAGTTCAGAGACATAATCTGATGGACCGCGTCAGAGATCCTGAGAGTTGGCAGAACACAGGAGACTATTCTGAACAAGACACAGTTTCACAGCCACAGATGGCGCTAAAAGAGGTGAGGCCAGAAACTGTAGGTAGCTGGAATCAGGTGGGGCAAAGCCTAAAGCCCAGAGAGGCAAGTGCCCCTGCCACTTTCCCTGCCAGGTGCCAGATCCACTGGCAAGCAGCCAAGGACAGTCACTCCCAGGATCCTCAAAGGAACACATGGCACAGTGGCAAGTGAGGTACTTGGGGCAGGGTGGGACTAAACTGGGAATCCCTCATATTATCTTCCTTTCTAATCTCCACCCTAAATGCTGTAATAAGAGATCTTGGTCTTCATCTCTCCCATTCCCTCTTCAAATATCCTAGAAACCAGACCTATCTTCCAAACAGAGAACCTGATCAGGCACTGACTTATTCTGCTAGCCAGAAACATTTGAACAAGGTAAGTTGTAATAGCAAGGGTTTTTCAGAAATCTTTGTCCAATCAGGCTAACATTTTAAAATTAGGAGCCTTCATTCTGATGCTCCTGGAGCTCATTCTATGATTAGTTTTCATGAGTCAGGCAGACTAGGCTTTCTGGGTTACTGTTTATGTGGTATTTTTCCCAACAGAAGCGTCCGGCACCTACAACCACTCTAGGACTAGAAGAGAAGAGACTCAGAACTCTGCCTTTAGCTCCAAGTCCCCTACAAGGGCTGCCCAGTCAGGACCTGCAAGAGGGAGAAGACTGGGAACAAGAGAATAACGATGAAGACATGGGCCCCAGGTTGGAACACAGTCCCTCAGTTCAAGCTGGTGAGTTAATGAGAAAAGGGCTAACTGCCCTAGTGGAGGGGTGTTGGGTGGCTCAGTTGGTTGGGCATCTGCCTTCCGCTCAGGTCATGATCTTGGTTGGAGTCTCAGGATTGGGCCTTGCTTCGGGCTCCCTGCTCAGTGGGGTGTCTGCTTTTCCCTCACCAGGCTTGTGTTCTCGCTCCCTAAAATAAATTAAAAAACTAAACTGCCCTAGCGGAAAAAAGACCTATGTAGTTGTGTCATCTTGCTTCCTTCCTAGATTCTGAATCCCCAAACCCTGAAGAGGTACCAGATTACGTGCTGTGAGTCTCCTGCTACTAACAATTTTATCAAACCTTGTGCATGAGATATTAAGATAAACTTCCTGGGAGCTTGACACTTTCAGGGCAATGAAGTTGAAGGTGGCAACTCTCTGCTCCTGGCAGGCAATACAGGACCATCCGCAGTGCAGAGCAGCAACATGCTTATGAGCAGGACTTTGAGACAGATTATACTGAATACCGCATCCTACATGCTCGTGTTGGGGCTGCAAGCCAAAGGTTCATAGAGCTGGGAGCAGAGATCAAGAGAGTTCAGCGAGGATCTCCAGAACACAAGGTAAGGACTGGACCCAAGATGGGCTTTCTAGCTTTACTGGCCATCAACTCCCTAATTGACCTTAAGACTGTACAGTGACCCAAATGACAAGCAAGTCAGTTTTAAGTGAAAAATTATTCTCTGTCATTTAGTAGAATGAGATGGGAAGTTACTTCTCTCCAAGAAAACTGGAGCTTTTTTCTCAAGGCTAAAGTTGGCGCTAACATTTTCTTTGTTTCAGGTACTGGAAGAAAAAATAGTCCAGGAATATAGAAAGTTCAGGAAGGTAAGACAAGGTCTGGGAACGGTAGCAAGAAGGCAGAAATGGTAGATCCTCTTGTTTTGTATTGTCGGGTTTTTTGACATGGATCCTTTTTCTCTGCAGCGGTACCCAGGTTATAGGGAAGAAAAGCGTCGCTGTGAGTACCTGCATCAGAAATTGTCCCACATTAAAGGTCTCATCCTGGAGTTTGAGGAAAAGAACAGGGAAAGCTGAAGCTGTCAGAGGGCTCTTTACCTTCTCTCTGCTCAGTGCGATATGAAGGAACAAAGCAGATATGAACTACATAGAGTGCAACTGTCTGCTCTTATTGCTGAATCCGTGGTGGCAAGCACGAGTTAAACTTCTAAATTCTTTAAGGTCTGATTTTATTGTTGCCATATTTTACTTTTTAGGGTTTGGGCACAGTGCCAAGACTCCACAACTGTGCCCAGGAGACTAGGAAGAGTAGTAGAGGCTTAGCTTCTTCATCTTTAGTTCAGCCAAGTCATTTTCAAATCCTGAGATTTCAGCATTTCACCATTTCCAGGACAAGATACCTTGAGAACATTAGAATTTAGCCTGGTTGCCTCCCTAAAGAAATAGTAATGAGAACTTCTGGTAACAGAGCTAAAGTAACTTGTAATACACCTAGATATAATGGGAAAGGGATTAGTTGTTCCCCCTGTTCTGGAAGTGAATCATTTTACAAACATGGCTGAAAAATGAAAACTGCTTCTGTGTCCTCTGTGTCAGTTTATATGCCTTCCTTTAATTCAAAGCAATGTTTCTTACCCATGAATGTCTATATGAACCACTTCTTGGGTGCTCTAAAAAATTAGATCTCCAGATCCCAGCCCAGGTCTTATGAATTAAAACCTTCGAGGTTCTGGTTAGGCATCTTTACTTTTTCAAAGCACTAAGGATGATCCAGATATATATTTTGCTATTGGGGCTCTATCAAATCCATCTTATAATTGACAGCTAGAGATTACAATAGGAATAAAGTTCTCTTTTTCAAATCATAGCAGTTGAGGATTACCTACAAATAAGGCTCCTGTCTGGAATTATCCAGTACTGAAAACTGCAGACAGGATTTGGGTTTCCCCACAAAAAGAGGGAAATTCATTTGAACAAAAGATCACACCAGTCCTATCCTTTTTGTTCGTCATTGTTGCAGAAGAAAAGTGGATGCTTCATTCACAACCGGGAATGATACTGTCTTTCCTAGTTCCACTGGAGAGGGAAGTTAATGGGCCACACCCTGGGCTTTAGGGGAGAGAGCTGCACCCAGCTCTGTCAGCAATTCCTGAAACAGCTTGTATGGAACCCTGACCTGATGCCACACCCTTCCAGGGACATTTTTGGGCAGAGACTAGCCCTTGGGAAGTATAAACATGCTCAGCTACATGGCAAGGGTAAATAGTAACCCAACCTTAGGGTATGGGCAGGGCTGGAAATGGAGCCCAACAAGAAAGGTCCCTCACCTGCTCTTATCATCAGGCTAGAGGCCTGGGCCCTAACATGTAAGGATAGAAAGTGATGAAATTTGTAAAGGATTTATAGGTTATAACTGTGGACCCAGTTAGTTGGGTCTACAGCAGCATTGACCAATGGTAGCTATTAGCTGTGTGACTATTTAAATCAATGAAAATTAAAATGTGTTCTTAGCCATATTTTAAATGCCCAGTAGCTACATGTATTAGGCAATGAAGATTATAGAATTTTCCTAACATTGCAGAAAATTCTACTGGATAGTGCTGATTTAGAAAACCTTGGTTTCCCCATCTCTTGGAAAAAAGACGGTTTAAAGGGGGCTCATTTATTGTCACTGTTCCAAATGTACAAAAAAAATTAGAAAATAACCCCCCAACTCAATCCCCCCACCCCCATAACATTCCCCCCCAACACAAACAATTTTTCCCAAAACCACAAACATCAACTGGTCCTGGTATTTCCATAAACAGTGCAGCTAAGAAACAGTTTAGAGAAAATTTAACGGGATTCAGATTATATCCATTCTGTCCTCTCTGCCCTGAGAGTAATAATCCCATATGGGTCCCAGTCCTCCCCAACAGTCTTCCCATCTCTGGTGGAAGAGTCCTTTTACAAAGTGGCATTTTTGGCTGCTGCTTTAGAGATCCTCCTGTGCCTTCTTCTTCTTCTTAGTTTTTTCTTCTTGAATTACAGGGGGATTTGTTGCTTCTCGTTGTAGATAGCTAATAAAATCACTTAATTCACGGCCACCCTGAAAACAGAAAGATCACTCTGAAAATTTAACCTTTTAAAGAACTTTGGATTTTTTTCCCCAATAGGAAGACTTTTGACTTTATAAAATAGCAACCACATATATTGACCATGAAATTGAATGTTTCCAGTTAAATAAAACTCAACTGGATATGTATGTGTATGTGTGTATTTGTGGGGAGATAAGACAACCCACTTACTTCATATTTCTTTGGATTTAGCTTCTTGTTGGCTGGAGAGAAGTAGATGGTAGGAAAACTGGATTTAAAAAAAAAAAAGGTGTTAACTCATTCAGATGCTGGAATAATCTAACATATACTTCCCCAAAAACTGTTTCTGGGAATAACTTCTCATGATTTCTATTTCTGTTCTTTCTTTCTTTCTTTGGAAGATTTTATTTATCGGACATAGAGAGCAAAAGCAGGGGGAGCAGCAAGGATAGTTAGAGGGAGAAGCAGGCTCCCCGTGGAGCAGGATGCAGGGCTGGATCCCTGAACCCTAGGATCATGACCTAAGCCAAAGGCAGATGCTTAACTGAGTCACCCAGGCGCCCCCCCCCCTTTTTTTTTTTTTTTTTGAGAGAAAGCATGTGTGCAAGCAGGGATGGAGAGGGAGAAGGAGAGAAGAATATTAAGCAGGTTCCACATCCAAAGCAGAGCCGACCCAGGGCTTGATCTCACAACCCTGAGATCATGACCTGAACTGAAATAAAGAGGTGGCCACTTAAGCAAATGAGCCACCCAGGCACCCCTTATGATTTCTCTCTCTCCTTTTTAAAGATTTATTTATTTGAGAGTGGAAAGAGCATGAGAGCATGACAGCATGATGGCGGGGGGGTGGGGTGGGTAGGGGGAAGGGGGGATGAGCAAATGCTGAGCACGGAGCCCTATGCAGGACTCAATCTCACAATCCTGAGATTATGACCTGATCTGAAATCAAGAGTTGGACGCTCAACCGACTGAGCCACCCTGGTGCCCCAATTTCAATTTCTGACCAGATACTATTCTCCAACAGTGGCTAGGTTACATCCTATCAAAACTCAGTAATAGGAGAGCTCACAAAATCTGTGGCAGTCATGTGGGCCCATGCAGTACAACTCCCAAGCCAGGAAGGCATCAGCAGTTCTGTGCTCAACTGCAATGAAGAATCCACTCCCTAAACTATGCCCAATAAATAGTTTATAACTTATTTTTTCCCTGTCAATTGCCTAGACAATTTTATTAGCATTTAATCTACTTACCCTCTGACTTCATATGGAGAAGGCACATCATTGGCTGTGGCATCCATCTTGGCTATGATAATATTTGGGTCTTTTCTGAGCTGTTAATAAAAAGGTTAGATCTTTAAACTTTCATTTTTTGGTGACTGAGGGACCCTTAGCCAAATCAGAGCTTAAAATAACCTCATTTTTAAACACCCGAATAAGTTCTGCTCAGGTAGGAATAGTGAGGCTTGTACACTATATCTAGCTTTCTACAGTGTCCTTTCTCTCTCGGTTTCTCCATATTAAGACTCTATTTACATCTACCTTCAATATTACCTGGCCTAAATAAGAAAGTACAAGGGCTAAGTCAAGAGAAACATAATGGATTCAAATAAATCACCAAAATTCAGAAGCCTGAATACCTTTAACTATAATCTTTGAGTGTTTGGAGTGGAAGGTCCAAACAGGTGTCTGAAGCACTGTAAAGGCTAGAGACACCAGGGGGCAGTCAGGAGAAAGTAAACAGCAGAGAGCTGAAAAGAAATCTAGCAGTACTTAGGTAATGAGTTCATTAGGATAACTAATTTAGCCAAAGCTGAATATGTGTGTCAACCTCCTAACTCAAATTTTATCTTCAGAATATGGTTCAGACTTACCTTCTCTCCCAGTTCTTTATACTTAGGCTCCAGATTCTTACAGTGACCACACCAAGGAGCATAAAATTCGATGAGTACATCTTTATTTTCATCATTCACTATTTCATCAAAATTCTCCGCTACCACTACCTGGAATACACCAAAGATCCTCTAGTTGGTAAGGCAAGGTGAAGAATAAAATTCACATGCTATATTTGTTTCTGGACCCAAACCCTCTCAAATGTGATGTACTGTCACTGAAAATATGTCACTGAAACCCAAATCACATTTACAGATTACATTAAGGATGTTCTGGTCATTTTCTAACTCATTCCCGTGTTTGTCACCTGTCAAACTTTGTTCAGGAAGCCACAGAAAGTAAGCACTACCCAACCCTTCCCTAATCTCAAAGCAACAATTCTGAAACTATTCTTAGAGGTTAGCTGGCTCTATCCCGAAGAGTAACTTTAGTTCTAATATAAATACCTTCCAAAATTCTAGGATTTTGTACTTTTGCTCCTTCTGAACATTGTGAACTCTGCCAATGCTTATTTTATGATACAAGGAGGGGAGGACAAACAAAACCGAAAACATGACGACCAACAAGGTCTCACTTAAACCCAGCATTTTTTGGAATAAAGAAATGAGGAGAGTCAACTCTATCTCAATAAAACTAAGCACACAGGGGGAAGTGAGGACAGGCTGCTGCTTAGAGCCTTGATGAGGCCGTGAACACCTCACCTTTACTGGCCCATCATTGCTCTCTGGGATTGGCTCAGACTTCAGATACCTCTTCAGGTTGCCATCAAAGTAATCCTGCAGGAATCTTTCAAGAGCCTTGCCATCACGCCTGCAATTAGAAAGACAAGGGTCGGCTTTCTTAATCTTCTACTGAGGATTAAAAGCAATTTCTTAGAATTGTTTCTACATATTCTAGCTTCAATTTCAACGTTAGAAACTGGAAGCTAAAAACAGGAGCTTATCTCTCAATATGCAGATCTACTGACTGAACAAAAACTACCTCCTTATATTTCTAGTGTGTACTTTGTGGATTAGAAAGGTCAGAGAAGGAAACACTGGTCTTCTGGAAATTTACTTCTGCAAAAGAACCAGGTCTTTGTTGCTCTAGAGAACACCGCCCATTTATGGTATTCTGTTTTACTGATTTGTTCACAAGGAAGATTTTCTCTGGTTTTGGTCTCCCAATGTCTCAGAAGGTGAAAAGTCATACTTTTCTAGGGTTTTTAAGACCTTCCCATTCGCTGAGTTTACTTTAGGCCAGGGTAGTATTCCAAGAAGAAAAGACATTCTACAGGGATGGGAGGGGGCTGCAATGGTCTGAAATTACATCAATCTCAGACTGTCCAATGCTCTCTATCTACTATTTCTAACAGCAGGGTAGAAACAATCACCTAAGTATCCCAAGCTGCTGTCCTTTTGTTAGTTTTCAGAATTTACTGAGGATTGTTATCCTTAAATACCTATAATTAACTGAGAAAAATGACAATCGTAGGTCTTAGCTAGAAGACCTATCCTCACATTCTAATGTTCTTTATAAATCCTTAGTAGTATAAAAGGTTTTAAGTGTCTTTGCAGAATCAAATCCCAAACCCACATTAACTTGTAACTCACGAGAACTCCTCTTGCAT